GAAAAACGAGGTGACATTAAGAATGCCAAACGTTCTGGATTTGAATTTCTCACACATGGCTGCACAAAAGGAGCTTGAAATGGAGAAATGCAGAGCATGGCTGTATTTTTACTGTTTGTACCCTCGCCTGTGTTCCTTGTCAAGCGTGACCGGAATAACATGATCCCTGTCTTTTACATTCTTTTTTCCTGCTAAAAATCTTAAGTATGTGTGACAAAATGGACAAAACCCAATTTTTTCTTAACAAGCAAAGAAGGGGAGTTACCAAATTCTGCTCTTTGCCTGCTAGAGAGGAAGTGCCTCCTCAGACAAAACACAAGTGTTCGATGCAGAAATCACATATACTGAAAGAAGAAACATGATCTGAATACAAGGCATAATACAGCCTATTGTAAGAACTAAGCTCAATACCACGGCACAACTGTTTCTTCAGTTTAAAGAGAGTCACCGTCTGTTAAACCAGTTAGTGAATTAAAAAAATAAGTCCCTATTACGTCATAAGTCCCTATCTAACATAAGAACAGCTGCACTAAATCAGATAAAAGGTCTACAGAGAGCATTCTCCCTCCAACAATGGCTAAAAGCTATATAAAGCTATTCTGGGACTACACTAAGGTAAAATGAAGAGTTTTATGACCTGTAAACCCCGCAAGATCTAGTTTCCTTTGACACTGTCCCACGGGCAGAGTCCTGGTGTCTAATAAATGCCAAGTTCCGATCAAAGTTTCTGACTTCTGTCCTGTGCGCACGTCCTTCTCTCTAGCAAAGTGCAATATGCTCGTGCTATAGTTTCTCTCCTCTGGTTTTTACTAGTGTTCTCTCTTTTTTCCCAGGTGGCCATGCTTTTGAAGGCCCCAAGAACCTCCTACTTTTGAGATCAAGGTCCTCTAAAATTGGTTGAGCATGGTAGCTGACAAGTCAGCTGTTGAGGGAGGACAGAGCACAGCTGCCTGCGTCAGGAGACAAGACTTACAAGAACAAACTGAAAACATACTTCTGTATATTTCAGTGGATTCAAGTGAGGCCATCTATATATCTTTACAAACAGCATTTAGTCTGCTGAAGTACAAAACCAGAAAAATCAAGCTGAGAATCTGAAGTACATAAAAATCAGCTCTTGATGGGTCAAATACTCAGCTAAGCAGGTAAGTACCTCTTAAATTATTTCCCTTCACACTCATTGTTGAAAAATGAAGTTACATATATCCTGTACTACTCACATTATCCCATAAAATTAAGCACTAATTGTACCTGTAAAACATGTTTGACCTGTTTCCACAAGTTTTTCACTTAAAGGGGAGTCGAATTGTCAGGAAAAAACAGGTAATTGTTAAACAAACGTGTAATTTCAATGGAATTACTGCAAGATCTTTTTCCACACAACTCCTGATAAAAGAAACCGAAGATAAAGAGCAGCGAACCACACCAGTAGTTTTCAATATTCACATCTGAGAGAGATCAGCAAACCCTCTCAAGTTACTCTGAAGCTCTTCCAGTGACATTATAAAGATCAAGGTAACAGTCTGGGAATTAGAAGAGATCCCAGGGATTTAGAAGAGAAAGATTTTCGAAGTGGGAATGACTGCTCCACAACCCATCACATCTACTCCAACACAGCACAGAAACACATACCAGAAACTCTCAATCACAAAGGAAAGTTCTCTACCTGCTGGAATATGAACGGGAGGGAAGCAGCTTTATAAAGCCATGTAAGACTTTGTTAAAGAGGAAGGAAAATTTTCCTTACTGTCAAGCTGTATAACTGCAGTAATCACAAATCACTTGTGGGGATACAAAGTTTGCAGCTGCTTTTTCGGAGTTGGTTTGCTTGTTGGTGTGATGTTGTTGGGGTTTTTTTGCAAAAGATTAAAGAGGGTAAATACAACATTTAAAGATACGAGAGAAAACAAAGGAACAAGGATTTCACAGAAATGCTTTTGTTGCCTCCTTATGTTGGGTTAAATACGTTTTTATTTTTCTTTACTTTTATTGCTACTTTTGAGCTTATTGTTTATATTGCTTTCACACAATTCTTACTATTGGAGACAAAAGGAGCAAAACAGTTGTGGCAGTTTCCTAGTTCCCAAATTGTTCCTTTCAGTTGCACTACCCACACTAGAGAAGTGTAGAAGTTTTCTTTCGAGGGCATTTTGTGAAAGTCATTAATAAATTTCCTGCAAGTCTCATCTACTGTATCAAATTTCTTCTACTTTTGTATGGCTATGTTTAAGAAGTGAAGCTATCAGAGCCTCCCCTTCCAACAGGGAAACTGTCACATCACTATCACAATTAACCAGTTTAAAAACGCTACATACCATTCAATAAAACACTCTTGTCCCTATTCATTATTTTAAAGTGTCATTAAGCAGGAATATAGTTTGGATATTTATTACTTTTTACAACGTTATCTAGGCTATCCAAGTGACCAAAGGGATGGAAATAATGTAGGTATTTACACATTTCTGCACAAGAGCAGAAAACAAAGTCTAGCAGACCAGTCAGATCTGGAAAAGAAAATGCTTTTTACAGAGCAATGTAATGCCAACATCTTTGCAGGGCTAGTTTATCCATCATAAATAAAGCTAAACGAACAAGCCTAGAAATTACTTTGCCATGACTTTTTAGAACAACTATTAAATGGCATCTTTTCATGTAAGTGGATGACGTGAACGAATGCCTGCTACATGCACTGCTTGTGGTTTAAAACTCGCCTGTTTGTAGTCTGTTACATTTGAATAACTTCCAAAAGGTTACAGACCAGCTGAGCTAAGGATATATGAAATCAACCCAGAGGAAGTGAATTTTGGAACAGACTACACTTCCGAACCGAGCAGTCACTGTGTTCTGGCACTCCTGGACACCCTGGCAGACAGCACTAAGGAAACTAGCACCACTGAATGGACTAGTAACTCCTTTGAATTACTGTAACCCAAATATTTTTCTCACGCAGGGCTACAAGCCCACAACATACTGAACACTGCTAGAAGTCAAATGCAAAGGACAGTCATTTTACTTATTTCAGCATTAAAACCAGAGGGGAGGGAGTGGGGCAGAAAGCTGATGTATAGGAATGTTATACATACCTGTCTAAATTTAGCTCTAGCCTCCTTCTCCTTCATTCTTCCATGTGCAACCAGATAGTCGAACACTTCTCCTACAATTCAATAATGAGGTACATTAATGCCAATTTCAGAATCTAGAGATTCCTCTCTAGCAGTTGCCCACAGCAGCTTCACTAGAATGATTGTACTTCAAGTTTATGATTACAGGTTAGCTCCAGAAAACAACACACAACTGCTATGCAATTTACTACACAATCATCTCAGATAATAAGACTTAATGAATGACTGGATGTAGACAAAAAAAACATTTCCATCCAATTATTTATAATAGAAACTGAGCAGCATATTTCTGTTTTGTAAATAAAGATGACATGTACCCCTTCACAGACTTTGTCACAAAGGTTTCTTTTGCCCCACAAAAAAAAGTTTCATATATGAGAACATCTGATGATATTTGTAAATATCGCCATATCAGCATTAGAATTTTTCTTTGTGCATATGTATAAATGCATTCTAACCAAAATCAGGAATCTTAGCTTTAACCTAGGCTTGGAAGAGGTACCCACAGGGAAGGTCACGATAATGAGCATAGCAGGACACATTGACATAATCCATCACACAACCATCAGATCTGTAAGATACACTGAGAAGGTTTACTCCTGAACAAGCCCTATGTTGTATGGCTGTGGACAACTAAAGGAGATTACTAAGGCAGTACTAAAGATCTCTTGTGTTTTGTCATTTTTTTTTCCCCTTTAATCAATCCAGCCATTTTACAGCATGTCAATACAGGCAACAACATTTAAGCTTTAAGTGCAGCCAACTGGTCCATGAAACATTGGCGTGTTTGTGAGAGCATGGGAGATTTTCTTTACCAAAAAACAATAGTTGCATACATAAGAACTCCTACAAACGCAGATTAGCACGCAGTTTTAAAAATCCTTCACTAATACGCAAAATTAACAAAAACTTCAGAAATGGATCAAATATCTAAATATCCTCTACTGAGCAAGAAAATACTATTTTGTGGACAGCCACCTCACAGACAAAGAGCTGAGTAACTTCACGTTTATTTTTGAAAAGAAGCAACTCCACCAAACTGAATAAAAACCCCAGAGTCATACAACAGGAAAAACGACTGAGCAATCCAAGGCAATGTCAGGATTTTCCACAAAACAGCCTTACTTCCTTCTGTAGCGTTTTATTTAATACTCAACTCAGATAACCCTCTCAGCTGTATTTCACAGGTGTTTCTTCAAAAACCTTGAAGGAACAAACCTCAACACTTCACAATTCAAGGAAAATGACACCAGAAAAAGAATTATCGTCAATTTACACAAAGTATTGCAGTTGTAGCAATAGTTTCTTTCATCCTGCAGCCATGGAGTTCATACGGATCATGCGTGACCCGTATCTTAATAGAGAGGAAATATGAGAAATTGATGCCAGTCACTGAGACTACCAGTCATTCCTGTCTTGCATAACACAGCACATGCAAAGGGTACTGCTCACGGCCTTTTAGACCAGTACAGTACGTGTCTCTACAGTACTCTAAGAAAGATCCTCACCACTTTAGAGAATTGCTGACCCTTCTGGCTCCTAGAAGCTAATCACTAGATGGCAATAAGACTTCACTTTTAAGTCTAGTACCATCAAACAGCACAGAGATGCCTCCACAAACACCTGTACTAGCCAGTATTTTAACAGTATATTACCAACTTTGTTTCCATTTAGACAAATCTTGACTGACCATTTAGGGAGCTGCTAGAAGAAAACATAGGCAGGTAGAGAATCATTACCTGATTTATAGTAATTTGCTAAACTTCACGTGATCTAACATCAAAGTCAGAATTCAATGCTGATTTTCTTTGAAAAGAAGTGTCTATTTCCTTCCCAAAACTAAAGAAAAGCCTCAACTATTTGAGATTCTCAGCTGCTAATGCTGAAGGGTCACACTGACAAACTGAGTGCTGTTAGGTTTTAGCCAGCAAGGAGTAACTTAAGCCTGAATACTTTAATACTAGCTCTGGTGAAAATATCTGACATTGCATGATGCACGCTTTTTTAGCTCCCTCTGCAATCAGGAATAAATGTTTAAGTTCCTCCTACAACAGCATAAGGCTAAGCCTAACAATTCCTGATAGGGGAAGGTCTGTCATTAAGATACATCAAATGTCATCAACATCTAAAGAAGTTAGATGCTTTCAAAATCACAAGTCCTGCAACAGTTAAAAGAAAATGTTGCATCTGAACATGTTTTCATCAAATATCTTATACAAAATAGGACACAGAGATAGGGAGCTGAATAAAATAAATTGAAAAGGTTGACATTTGTTACAGGTCCAATAGATGGCTGAATAAGTATTCCCATTAAATTTGAGTTGTGAAAACAAAGCAAATGTTACTAAGCTGCACCAAGTTCAGAAGCTGGTTTTAAAAGTTGTAATTTAAAAGTTATAATTGCCCAAAGAAGTCTTAGAGAATACAAAAGTTTTTACTTAAGATTTTACACTACTGTGACATTAATATTTGCTGAAAAAGAAAGCAAAACTTCAAAGAAAACAAGTGCTTTCTCCCACTTGGCAATTTGTTTACATGTGTCATCACAGCAGAGAGGTACTTACCCCCACTTGCATATTCCATTATTAAATAGAGAGTTTTTTCAGTTTCAATGACTTCAAATAGCTTCACTAGAAAAGAAAGTCATTTATCAATCAGTTAACTGGTTGCAGAAGTATTATGTTAACCCCACAGAGAATCCTGTCAGAGGAAAAAGACCCACCAAAACCTATTTGCTTGCTGCATGATAATATCAGACTATTACTCTAAAGAAGCTTTTTTTCTGTCTAACATTCCTAAATGGAAAATACTCTAAAACATTTGGTCAACTCAGAGAACATCATTTTCTCAAGAAACAATACCGTGCTTCTGTTACATGGAAAAAGCAATTAAATTAACCAGAATTCCACAGATTTGAGCATCAGCAATAGACATTTTTATGCACTGAACTGACACACACAGCGACAAACGAAGTCAGTTTGCCAGTAGTCCTGTAACAATACTAAACCATTTAAGTACAATCTTGAACAACTTCTTGACTACTTCTTGGTTTTGGAACATATTTATTTTTAAAGAGAGCCTGAATACAGTCAAAATCAGTATTATACTCAAAAGAAGCAAAATCATCAGCTGTTCGCGCAAAGGGACCAAAACATTGGGTTTTGGTTTTGTTTTTTCCCACCCCAACGCACAGCTCTGAAAAAGTATTTGTTACTGCTACTTTACAGTAAATTGACACCCTAGTGAAGAATCATCTTTTAAACTCATACCACAACAATTTTAACAGTGAAAAATCTAACATTTCTTCAGAGTTGGAAATGATATGAAAGAAACAAGGTACCTATATTTGGATGATTTAAGATCTTCATTATTCTTACTTCTCTAAAGAGCTGAAATAAACATAAAACATGAAATAAGTTAACAAAATCGGTAACGTTCTTCCTAAAGCCTGATAATTTTGATATACTTATTTAAACACAAAGGGCAAACATTACTCTCAGCATTTCAATAAACTTTATGAAATTAGCACTTACTGGAGGGAAGAGTTAAGTGCCTGCTGCTTTTAACACTCCTCCCCAAACAAACCAACCCTCAAAAACATCCACAAAGCACTCTAGAGAGCTCAGGAGAGAACTGATGTTAGTTCTGTGGTTCTCACACTTTTGGGGCCAGAAGGTTGTTACAAGCCCACACAGCTTCTTGCTGGCCAGTACATCTCACACAATCTTTCACCCCTTCACAGAAAATACTGTTTCCAAAGTTTCATGAACTCCCACCAGAGAACCTTCTGAAGATCACTGCATACGTTACTGGTATGAATTCATCACTCTTCAGTACTTCATTAAAGCCAGAGAATTATTGTGCTACAACAGGAACTCACAGGCGAAAAAGCAGCTGCTTGTATCACACAAAATACGTGTTTTCCAACTACACTAGCAAGGAGCAAGTTTTAAGGATAGATAGGCCAGGCTGCCCCTCAGCCCTTCAGAAGCACTCCTGCACGGCGACTGAGGCACAGTAGCATCCAGTCCTGGGTTTGTCACCAGACCTCCACTGACTCTCTCTGCCAGACATCCAGTCTCCAAGCCTGCTTGGCCAGTACAACATGCTGAACATACTTGCCAAAATTAATAGAGCAGAACACAAACGGTGTTTTCCTGACCCAACAGTCCCCAGCAGACAGAAGAAACACCATCACTTCAAGGCTACAGTCTCAAAGAGACCAGCCTGCTCCCACCCTCTTCATCACCCACCTTCCCGTGCAGCAGGCTTGTACAGCTCCCCTTAATGCAAGCACTGGTGTTAACCCAGACCGACGCACAAGGTCCAGGAATGAACTTAAACAGAAAATGTCACAAAACACACAGCTCCCCCAAATAAAAACACTCCATCTCTAAGTTTTCTGTTGCAACTCCCTTGCCCACATCAGCTGATCTATTTTGGCAGGATGGGGGGTGAGGGAGTACAACCGCCCATTCCAAGCTGCAGCACCACGTTAGATCAACGGTGCTGCAACCAGAGACCACGAACTGATTGTAAGGATCTCATCCTTGCCCTCCCCAAGGCATCAACATGCATGTGAAGAGAGTCTTGCTTGAGTAATTATTTCCAAAGACCTCAACTTTGCCTGTCGCACAGAGTAAACTCTGTCCTCCTGCAACTGGACGATAATATGGGAATGACATCTAACAAACCACAAAGGAAAGCACAGCCTTTTACTGATCAGCTGTTAATTATTTTCACCTCTGAAAATCCTCTTCTGCAAAAGACCATGAGAAGAGGCACATAAACCTATCAGTGTAATACTAAAATTGCCATGAGTGTTGTTACTGCAAAATAAAATATTGCCTTCAATAAAGTTGGTTAATAGCAGATGAAGTGAAAGTAGGTCCACCTCTTCTCCCAGAAAAGACGCAAGATAAAAAACGATAACAAAAAAAACCTCGAAGTAGAAAAACTATTTTATTCGGAAAACCTAAAGAATTCTCTTTCTAGGCAATACGCTGTATCAAAGCCAAGCGCATAGCTGTTCTGCCTCTGCAGCTCCCCCACGCCAGTCCAAGACTCCAGAGGATTCTTGACGTTATTTTAGAATCATAGAATGGTTAGGGTTGGAAGGGACCTCAAAGATCATCTAGTTCCAACCCCCCTGCCATGGGCAGGGAAACCCTCCACTACACCAGGTTGCCCAAAGCCTCGTCCAAACTGGCCTTGAACACTTCCAGGGATGGGGAATCTACAACTTCTCTGGGCAACCTGTTCCAGTGCCTCACCACCCTCTGAGTGAAAAATTTCTTCCTTATATCTAACCTAAATCTGCTCTCTTTCAATTTAAAGCCACTGCCCCTTGTCCTATCACTACACGCCCTTGTAAAAAGTCCCTCTCCAGCTTTCCTGTAGGCCCCCTTTAAGTACTGGAAGGCTGCTGTAAGATCACCTCAGAGCCTTCTCTTCTCCAGGCTGAACAGCCCCAACTCTCTCAGCCTGTCTTCATAGCAGAGGTGCTCCAGCCCTCGGATCATCTTTGTGGCCCTCCTCTGGACGTGCTCCAGCAGCTCCATGTCCTTCTTGTGCTGGGGACTCCAGAGCTGAACACAGTACTGCAGGTGGGGTCTCACGAGAGCAGAATAGAGGGGCAGAATCACCTCACTCGACCTGCTGACCACGTTCCTTTTGATGCAGCCCAGGATACGGTTGGCTTTCTGGGCTGCCAGTGCACATTGCCGGCTCATGTTGAGCTTCTCATCCACCAGGACTCCCAAGTCCTTTTCCTCAGGGCTGCTCTCAATCCATTCTCTGCCCAGCCTGTACTTGTGCTTGGGATTGCCCCGACCCACGTTGGGTGTTTGAGTTCATCATGTCTCTGCCTGAGGTTACCACTGTCACAACAGAATGGTTCACCCAGGCACTTGTCATCTCTTCCAGTGCAATGTCTGACCAGTTAGTTCATGTACTTGTGCTTGAGATTGCTCCGACCCATGTGCAGGATCCTGCACTTGGCCTTGTTGAACTTTTTTCTAACATTTTCTAACAGCATGTTTCAAAAAGCAGGAGTAATCAAGTGGTTTGATTACAAACCCACCATCAATGTCTACAGGAATACCAGTAATGTAACAGATTGTATTGAACTTAATGTCAAGAGACTGAAGCAGAAGGAAAGTCCACAGCTCCACAGGAGGGCAGACATGGGAAAAACAGAGTTTTGTAAATAAGAGGTAACAACATCGCTATTAACAGTAAGGAAGCAAAACTGCTGCTGCAAGATTTGCCTCGGGTCAGATTTCTGATAAAGTAAAGACATTTAATATGTCTACATGTATTACTAGTGACTCAAAAAATCTGTAGGTGTACTTACTCAATAAAAGCAAAAAAAGGCGAAACAGGAAACAAACAGAAAATCATCAAAGAGTCAACAAAACAAAATCCTTGTGCCTTTGTGTCTTTTAACAAAAGAAAACTTGGGGTAGGGAAGGATTTAAATAATTTAAAAAAAAAATAATCGCAATTTGGAGACCAGTGCTAACTATTTTCTTTCTGATGTTTCTGTGAAGGCTAAGATTTGGGGAGCAATCCTCATTGCACTGCCCAACAGACCTCCTCCCCCATGTTACAGCCACCACCGTGAATGGCACATTACCTGAACACAGAGTAAAAACAAATGGCTCTCCAAATGCTTTTAATTATCTTGTTATCATTATCCAAGTCTACGTCTGGCACTTTGCTAGATGACAAACTGCTTACATGCAATCAGAATTGATTGATCAAGTAAATTTTTGGCCATGCAAATAGTTTCAAAAAGCATGCATGTGTCTTTTCCCCCAGACAGGGAAACAAATTGTGTTTTTCTTAAAAAAAAAAATATTTCTGGAGCTTTTCACTGTCTCTCTCTGATCGTCGGATATTTAAGAGCCGATGAATCTATAGCTATTTTTTTCTTATTTTTCATTTAGTTCAGCTGAATTGGTGTATAATATACTCTGAATACTCCATTAATACTTCTAAACACAGCTTTTATAACGGAAAGCCCTCTAGTCAGCTTTTAAAGTTTTGAAGACAGTTTGCTTAATTTATTCTCCACTGATTGTTGGTATCTTCCACCTCCAATACTCAGATAAAGCCTGTTGGGTCAGATTCTCACACCAAAGGCAACTTCACTGCCGCACTGATGAGGACTTTGGCTGTTATTCAGCCATGAGTCTGTTTATCATCACCTCACCCACCTATAAAAAAGGTATATATGTTCATAGAATTAAGTGTGGGAATATAGGCAAAGTCAGAATTGGTGGCCCCAAACAAGAACAGTCAACCAAGGGCAATATAGAATATGACAGTAAGAATGATGCTAAAATTCACAATATCATCATGTAAATGAATACATGCATTATTATTTTTTTCTTAATAAAGTATGCTGACTTGGCTGGAGCTACCTCCTCCAGAGTACACTCTATACTTTGATGGTCTAATGTGATAAAGTCAGGCTCATACCACATTTTAAGGCTGTTCTAAATATAACATTGGTGCACAGGACGACTACTCTGCATTACTAACCTGAATAAGCATGCCAAAAAGTAGCTTCTACACATGAGCCGTTTGTTGAAGTGAGTGACTAGAAACAAGCTTTTTAAACCCGATTATTTTCATTCCCCCAAAACACTATGTGTGTCACCTTCTAGCAAATGAAGTAATTCTCAGAAAGTAAAATTCGTTGTGAACAGCCAGGTATGATAAAAGCCCACACATCTGAGGTTCTCCGTCACAGGAACACAGAAGAAGGTGGCACATCAGAAGACCTAATGCGAAGGTTCTCAATTTAGCAAATAATTGTCTTCATTTTAAAAACTTACTTGTCATAAAGAGACTATAAAGGCAAACAATCAACTGAAAACAGTGCTTATCAGTTTAATTTCTAATACCAAGATTAAAAACTACTCCCAACTTGCTGAACAGCTCATTTTTCGTCAACAGAAGCTCTACAAATGTTTCTAGGCAAAGACAAACATCCTTAGTCTGCCAACAAATGGCTTTCAGCTTTGTTGTGGTTTGGTCCTTTGACTGTAAGCCATTTTAGATAGGGGAAAGATTTACATTTAATTAATGCTGCTAGCCAACAAACTGAGAAAAAAAACCAACAAACCAGCAACAGAAGCACAGACACATATTGAGTAATAATCTTGAAGCAATTTTACTCGAACTTTATTATGCTGACACATCTGAAACAAGAGAGTGAGGGGAAAGAGGACCCAATCTTTTAAGCCAACTCTCTGAACACAGCGAAAATCAGATTAGAAGCATTTCTGCATTAGCTATTACAAGAGTTTCAGTAACAAATTACTCCAAAAATACCAAAAAAAGCATTTGCTAAAAAGCAAGTCAGATGCAGAGCACCAATATCCTGGCCTCCTCCCCCCCATTCCCTTCATGATATGTTGTCCTAAACTCAAGCTTTACCTTTGTATTAGGCTCCTCCTGATACCTGCTCACCGAAATATGCCCTATACATAATTAACAGCCTCAAGCCTTTACACAATACAAGTTTGCCTCAAACCACAACTTGAAAACAGAAAAAATACTTGTTATAAACCGAAAAGCCTGGGCATTTTAAATTCTCACACTTTTCTTGCAGTTTTTGAAATACTGATTGACCCATCGTCAGCAAGGACATGGTCCATGTTAGAATTGATGTTTAAGAACTCTAAAAAAATTTAACAAAACAATGGCCCAAACAAGTGGCAAAACATCTGCATGTAACAAACAAAGATATTTGGCTGAGGAGCCAAGTCCCAAAAAAAGCAGAATGAGAACTGATTTAGTGCTATTACACAAGCTTGGTAAAAAAAACCCCTTGCATATAATGGCATTGCTAATTCAAAAGGAAAAAAAAACAAACTTTTTTTTTTTTGGTCTAGGAGGAAGTGAACTACCATAGCATCAGCACTTGTTTCCAGTGAGACCAATATTCACTGGAACCAGGTAGACAAGTACATTTGTGAAGAACAGGGATTATGACTAACACCACCAGCATGGGAAAAAAGCTCTAAGAATTCCCTTTTCTTTCAACACAGGGAAGTATCAGTTATAGTTTCCTCTTCGCTAAGCAAGAGCGGCAAAGTAGTAATTAGGTCCTAAAGCGACAGTTAAGAGTAGCTGCATGTGGCTACCACAGACTTCCTCCACAGCAGACAGAAACTCAACTCTTCTGAAGAGCTGCGCTGCTGAACATTGAGCTGTCAGGACTGCAGCCGCCCCGAGCTCACTGCGAGGACACACTGAGAATTACTGCTCCAGACAGCAAAACAAGTCCTGAACAAGGTTAACTTCTTTCTGGCAGCTGAAGTACCGGCATGGAAGATGTAACACAAAGAAATCAGAACCAGCAGCCTTAACTACCGTTTGCTCCCCCACCTAAGGATGACCAGGGTACGCAGCTGCACCACAGCTGTGACACTATATACCACACCCCTCCTCCTCGGCACAGCCCTTCCCTCCCCGCCATACCTCAGATATTTTAACACTCTCTCCAGAAGCACAAGATCAGAAGCACTTCCAGCTTGGCTTCCCCTGCACCTAGAGGTCGCGTGCACAGTTGGCTTCAAATGCACCGAGGCTACAGCACTGCTGACAGTGCTGGGGAAAGGGGCAAGGGTTTGCAGAAAAAGCCTTGACAAAGCAAAACTGGCAGTGTGCTGTGCGTTCACTCTGCTTACTATGACAAGCAGGCATTTAATTTTAAGGAAGCTACTTTCAATTTTTGAATTGAGAACACTGACGTAAGTTGCTAAATTTCCTCTGTGCTCATGTAACAAACGAGCTTAGAGAGAAGAGCGCATTAGCAATCTTGCTCCTCAAATTTGATCTGATTTCCACCCTGCGATTTTGTACTATTCTTCCAGACTCCCATTTAAGAAACCCAGTGGTAGACAAGACCAATTTACAAAGCACACTTCATAATCTAATTTTATAGACTGTAAATAAAAATGAAATTACAGTGGAGACAGTGACACAAGCGGATGCTGAGCAGGCTGAAACCCAGGAACCAAAGGGCCAACAAGCGTAATTCCAGCTTGTGGCCTTGCCAACTGAACACCTGTGACTTGTAAAAGGTTTGCTTTGTACCTGAACATGAGCTCAAGCTAGCATTACAGCCCAACCTCAAGATAACACCATTTGAAGGATTAAGGTTTTACATTTTTGTCTGAAAACTCAGCCTCTCCACTCTTCTCTGACCGTTTTTCCCATGCCCTAACACCTCCCCTTCACATCACACAGCTTTTGTTTCTCTTCCAAGTGCTTCAGGCCTTTAATAATTTTTTCAGATATTCAAAGTTGCACAGATGTGCCACACAAATCAACTTTATCTAACCCATTGTATTACATAATTTGCATTTTGTTTCCTCCTTGCTTACCCAGAAATTCCCAACAACCTCAGGGATTAAGCCGATAAAAATTCTGAGAAAACTGGAACCACATTATCTTTCATCCAGTCTACAGAGTCAGTAGGAAGCTGCTACCCGCTCAGACGATGGAGCCTTCCTTCTATAGGTTATTCTTTGCCTCTCAACCAAACCGTACAGTGTAAGAACCTGTGTGTTTTTCCAATTTACTTTTGCACCATTAATTTTGATAAAAACATCTAGTCACACAATCTTTTAAGTATTTGTATAAAATCCAAATGTGTATGTTCTCCAGTTTACTCTGGTTATGCTATTTCATTTTGTTTGCAGGTAAGTTCTGGGTATTCTGTCGTTCAAACAAAAATACTGCAAGGAGCTTTTTTTATCAAAGTACTCAAAAGTAAATAAAAAGCCTTTGATTGCAGCACTTAAAAGGACCGAGTTAGAACTAAGTCCTAGGTAAAAGTGACATTTAAATGTACTTCCTGCAGGCACTCCAAAGCAGACTGGCTTGCTTGATGAAAGAGTAGGATTTATCACTACTTACTAAAATAGATAAGGCAATACAACTGTAACAGCACATTAAACATTCGAGGCTAGAGGGAAGAAACCAGAACAGGCATGCTCCTAATTTGTTCCATAAAACTGCAGCACCTTTGCTGCCGCAAACTACGTGAAAGGCATACATACTGCTTGGGCATCAGTTCAGAGGCAGTATTTCAAGGCCAGTTTAAGAGGACACCACATAGGCTTTATATTTCTAAGTTTAACAAAGTGACCAGCATGAAGGAGACACGGGAGCATGACACCAAACCACAAATGTCCTCTCTACAGTTAGCTATGCTTGGAGGCAAAGGAAGTGGCTAACACCACTGTTTTCTCAGTTTACAGCGTCTGCACCCGTTCATCTTGAACAACTGCAGGGCTGTCAAAAACATGTTACAAAAGTAGTTATTAAACACATTAAGTCAGATGTGTGCAAGGCATGCAATGCTTCAGATTCTCCAGCACAGGCATTCAGGGTTAATGGAAGGAGATAGTGAAACAAAACAAGTTACAATACAGTTGAAAGATTAAATGTAAAAACCTACCTTTTGTAGACTAGTTGGGTTCAGCTGTGTTTTGTCAATTATTTTTATGGCAACCTAAAGGAAGAGTTCATAATCAGTATTTTCCATAGGAACAATGCAGTGTTTTCATGTTTTCCCATTTTGTAATAACTACACAAAGCTCACTCAAGTTTCTTCACCAAATTATGTACTTGTAATTAGACTAAAGCATTTGGAATTAATTGCTGAAGTGTAATTTACTTCTACTGCAACAAACTAAACAGAAGAGTGCGAAAACCTCAAGTATTTTAAGCGTATTAAGATGAGAGAAGCTTACTTAAGTCTTTTGCTTGACATTAAGACCATCACACTTGTTATAGTGGAAGCTCCACCACCAGACAGTGCCCTGATATAGAGCAGTGTGCCTACAGATAATATTTACACAGTAAAACCACACAACAGATTACATGGTACTGACGGGGCATTAACTGTGAAGGCGCTTCTAAAAGCAGAGATTTCAGAACAAATTGAAAGTAATTCCACACAGATTTCACAAAAGCTAAGTCCACCTTTGGAAATTCACTGAATATTTGTATCAATTTGCTCCCTGATGGATATGAAAAGAACTATCATTTGTGCATTAATGAAAACCAGCTGGCTGTAGTACAACAATTTGGGCAAGTTCATTCCTTTACAGGTTCTCATCTTTTCAGTAAATACTGCACAGAAATATTAAAGAACAAAATAAAAATTTCACAAAATAATCAGAAGAGAAATTCAGTACCATGGTAACTAGTCAGAGCCTTAAGATTTGAGGCAATGAACAGGCAACAAGATGAACTCCAGTGCAACGCAATTTGGATACAGGATGAGTTAGAACAGGAAATGGGAATCTTTCTAGAATTACGTGCCAATTGGTATTTTTCCTTTCTAAATTAGAGACTAAACATACCAGAAGAAACTCTACAGAAGCCAAGGAGATGGTGCCTCTCCAAGAGGCAAGATGCTGCAACTCAGCTGATTATAATACCTCACTGGTGCAAAGCAAGAGCTTTCAATTCTCCTTGAAGTTTTGGCTCAAACAGTAGATGCTGCTCCTTCCCATGCCACAGCTCCCGTTTCCCTGCATCTCTTTGTGCTATCTTTGCCACCTCATTAACTTGAGGTTGGCAACATATGGAATAAAGAGTATCTTACATCAAAGCAAATTTATATCCCTACATTCAAGCACAAAAACGCATGAATGGATCATCATGATCAAGAGGGCAAAAGGGTAACACAGTGTTCAACACTTGGGTGCATCGCAGAATTATATGATGGATGTGTTGTTTTCCGAAACCGAGACTCAAGATTTATTTTGAATCCTCCTAATGCAAGATATTATGAGATGTCACAAAGAAGCCATCTAAGAATACTCTTGCTTTGGGGAGTATTTTCTTCTAAGGTATGCTACTGAAATTAAAGATCACTATTTCCTGAGGCAAAATTCCATTACAAAACCTTGAGAAATCACTTCAAAAACACAAACAAGAGATAAACACATTAAGCAATAGGTATTTTTATATTAGCAGCTGTGTACCAAACCAAGAAAGATTTTTATCTTTACCTTTATGCCCGTTGAACTGTTGTCACGCAGGTAACAAAGTTACTCACTTCCTGCAATCTCTTACAAATCCATGCTGGATGCAGAGTGATCGCTGCCTTTTTCAACAGCGGAAAATGTTATCTGAAAGTCACTGGTGTCTCCATACTACCTATGCCACAGAAGATGGCTGTTCGCTTGGTAAGTGCATTTCACTCAGAAAAAGTTGCACTTGTGTTGTGAGCTGTACCGTTCCGGTGAATCCTTGAAAGATGTGCACTTGTTTCAACCCACAAAGTCTTAAGGTATTGTGTTTCTGCAAAACACAGCTCAACTCTCTCTGTGCCTTGGTGCCAGATAATCAGAGGTCTCTGACACTGGCAAACAAATTCAGCCCTGGAGATGCAGGGAAGGTACACACCTCAATTATCTGAAAGGCAGACTCACAGGCCTGTTGAGCACACTAATTATAGCCTTAAAGGCAGGATGAATGTAGAGAATTCCTATCCACATGAACGCTGGGAGTACAATGTGTTAACACTGACTTTGAGAGCTTGAACCCATCATCAGAATAGGGAGCAATTTCAGGTGCCTCGATAAGGTCTTCAAATCGCAGGCAAAGGGAGCCTGCTCTCAAGAATAGTCTGACAAGCCTGATAAAGAAAATCCTCTGTTTCACTAAGCATAGTTAGTAAAGCAAAAAAAACTGCCTTCCAAAGCAGAAACTTTGCTCTCTTTACACAAAGTGAATCTGGAACGGTTTCAAACATTGTGTGCTATGGCCAATGTTGGAAGAATGCAAGTCCACCTACACGTTACACCACTGCATCAGCCATGATATTCTGAGATCATTAGTAGAATTAAAGTTATCTTTGCTTTCACCATTCACAATAACATGACTTAAAACATTCCTCCTACATGGCTTGAATAAGGGAGTTAAAGCAATCAGAAAGAAGTTGAGACTGAGCAAATTGGCCAAACCACTACTATTCAGAATGTTTTCTCCCTCTTAAATTTCACTTTTTCCAAGGGAAGAAGAGAAAGAAGATGACAATAGATTCCCTGGAGTCAGACTTGGATCCTGAAAGAATCCTGTCTCACTAGGAAACTTCAACTTCCTGGCTATTAACTGAACACATGCCTTTAATGAACAGAAGGATCTATATATTTTTGGCTGTGATTCCAACTACCTCAGTAACAGCAAAGGTAGTTTTATCTTTTAGATTAATTTTGGCAAGTATGGAAAACTTGTCAGAGGAAATAATCTTTGATAAATTACAACAGAAAAATACATGGCTTAAAGTCAAAGAATTAACAAAAGCAGATTTACAAAGAAGAGTCTTGGTTTCAAAAGGGCAGACAAACTACAAATAATACTCTCCTAGACAGAAGATCTCAAAGGAGTGTGTTTCCAAACACTAGCTCTAGTGCAGTGAAGCTAGTCTTCCCTCCACACCTCTGCAGTGAGCAGAAGGCCATACGCTCCTTGGCAGAACATTTCAAACCCCTCAAGTTAGGCTGACGTTCTGATCATCTCCCAAAGGGCTAAACATTTCTCCCTTTCTGTAATTTGAGGCTGGGCTCTCATCATAGGTCCTGCAGACACACTAAAGATGGAAACGAAGAAGAGTCCTAGAACTTACTCCAGCTGGAAACATGAAATCTGTATCTCAAGCAACAGGAAAATTCACAAGGAAGGACTCCAGATGTAAGGAGATGAGCAATTACCCTAGAAGAATGCTTGAATAAGCATACTCTCCTCCCAACAAGTGACAGAAAATGCTCATCTGCTGCATGATTTAGAAGTTAATCAGCACAGAGATATAAAGAAGGAATTGCCATGAAGTGAAACTTAACTGGACACTTAGGACATTAAAAATAGCCACACAAAAACCAAGGAGAAGATAAGTAGGGCTCAAATATAGCAAGGATACAGTAGAGATGAAAACTCATTTGAGCCTGACTCCCAAAGCTAAGTATTTTATTTTAGGTTTTGGTACATAAGACGGAAAA